GTGTAGTGCTTCGTTTATGTGACTACTTTAAGATTCGTCTGGGCATTGTGCTAGCGGGCTGGCCTTCGAGTCACGCTCAGGTTCAGTTGCTTTGTTCCTTTTGGAATACACATATCCAGCTGCACGTATTGCCCTCTTCCGCTATATGGGATGTTTCGGGACGCTACAATGCGAGCCACAGGGCATCTTGATAGTAGGAAAGATACGTTAGCCACTAATAAAATGGAATTTGCAGTGTCCCAATTCAAGTTAAACAGTAAGGAACTGTTCGCAAATGTCGACGATTTGAACTTTTAGAGGTTGCTTTTAGTAGAAGATGTTTATTAAGCATTCCCAAGATTTTCACTCAACAAGAAACTTATGGAAGACAAGGTATGATTTTGTAAAAAGGCTTCCTTTCGGAGTTACGTCAGGCAAGTTGTTTTAATTTAATTTCCGCCTTACCCATGTGTACGTCATCTAACCACACTTCGTGCATTACATCCAAAGCCGTAGTTGTTTTTAACGATAACTTGGTTGCTTATATTGCCCTGCTAATTAAACCGATTGATGGACTAACTTGGTCGTCTCCATCCGCAATATTGACATTATGACCCTTAACCATTGGTCATGTCAATAAGTGTATAGGATAGTATGTTATGTTACGGGATCGCATGGTCGATGACGCTAACTTATAAACAGTGGTCGCCTTTCGTTCAAAGTTCAATAGCCGCAAAATATGATAACGCTGTTAACTACTTACCTTGTAATTTATCAAGGTCAATCATCCTCCTACTTATGTGGATTCTCTGTATATTTGTCCTCGCCTTCGGTAATCCATCTGTGACCATCAGTGCTCTTGAGGCCTCGCATAACCTCCGTTTGAAAAGCCGACCTTTTCCGAGATTTTCAGTCCTTCTTAATCACACTCCACTTATCTGTTTCTGTGACGACATTTCTTACCAAGTCCTTGCATATTTATGGATCGATTTGACAGATTGTTGGAGGAGCAGCAGAAAGCCATCGGGCAAACCGATGACAGCATAGGGAAACTCCAAGCGTACGTTGATGAATACGCACGATTGAAGACAAGGCTTTTGGAGGTATCTAACTGTTTTTCGAGGAAAGCTATCATCCCATTCTCACCCAGAGCTCTTGTTCCTGCCCGTCTGATTCATACTAACGAAGTCCTGGTTTATTTAGGTGGTTGCGCCGAACACTTTTCTGAGGTGTCCACCTCCCAATCTTTACTCATTATTGATGAGAGGATTAAGCGCATTCAGAATAAAATTCAAAAACTCAAAGAGCAGAAACGACTGCTATCTGATAGGGTATCCTATACTCAGAGGTTGGTTAGAGGTCAACAACCGCAAAGTGTTACGGAAGGTGACGAAGGTGTTGAGTTCGAGATACGCGAGGAATTTGATCCAGTGAAGGAAAAGGAGTGGCAAGCTAAGCACAAACGACGAGTCCTAACAGAGAGGATGCGAGAGCGTGACTGCACCCCTACAGGTCCCTCACTCTCCCCAAAACTAGGAAGTCATGACGCCATCTCTTCGGAGCACCCATCTCCACCTTCGCCCGACATTGTTGTATGCAGCTCTACCAATCAGGCACGCCCTGTTGTCTCCTACATCAGGGAATGGTGTAAAGCGTCTCCGGCCGATGTTGTTGCTACGATCCAGAAAGGACATCAAGAAGCAGAATCCAAGGGCGTTCTTAAATCAACCCACTTACGTCAACTCCCTGCTACACACGAGTTCTGTGAGAAATCTGGAACTGAATCCGAGCCAACATCAAAATCATCAAAGTACCCCATCGAACCCTTTTCTCAAGTTATCGAAAGAGCATCCACCTCCATTGAAGCTATTAACAGTACTGGATCAAATGGCGGTCACATCTCGCAGTTTCGTGCAAAAAGGAATAGGAACTTGTGAACATTAGTGTTATGTTACACTTTTAGATCCTTGTACTAAAAAATATTTCATTTTTAGATAAACTCCGCAGCGCCCCTTACTGACGGTTAAAGAGCCGGTGCTTGGACGTTTTGTTCTCGCAATGTAGGTTACCAAATCATAATAATAGGCAAAAATACTAGCTAGAATGCTCCATGACTTTCGCGGATATGTACAGGAAGCTTCGACATTTCTCTTTCACACGCAGGGTCCTAGAAGTGAAAAGGGATTGATGATCAATGTAGTGGCGACAAAGCAGGAACCAAATAAGTAGAGAATAATCACTTGCCTAGATAGTCGTCCATAAGTGTACCAACGGCGAACTATAAAAAAAAGCAGTAATCGGTTCACTCGGATTCGGTTATCGATCATGCCAGGGAGGACTTACGATAGCGCTGGCGTCAACGCGCAAACCAATTATCCTCAGCCGGATCCGATCCTCCAACTGAACGATTTGAGTCTGGAAATCAATCGAAAGCAGAAGGAAGAAGTTCTCAATCCCATCAAGAAGTGACCAAAACACAAAGGTGTTCAAATTCAACTCATGTTAAGTAAAAGCAAGCATTGAAGCAGCTTTACGGGTGTCAGTTTACGCTATTCCGATAAATAAAAATCGACGAAACTATCGTAGAAACGTGGGCAAAATTGAGACATAGGAGCATTGTCTCCTACCTCTTCTTCTTCGTCCTCCTCATTGGTAGTTTCGTTTGTCGTGTCAGCGCCTTCAAACTTGATGTTTTGAGGAATAGACTAAAGAATAAGCCGCAAATATGCCTCACATATTTCGATATAAATATACTCAGTGGGCCGGCTTCCGCAAATACCCCAACTTTGTTAACTTGGGTAACGACCGCGTCAATAACTTCGCCTTTGAAAGGACGGAAGACAATAGCCCGATAAACTATATGGTACTGAACGAACCCTCGGCCGGGGAGGAGCATCCCAGCTCCAATATGATCAATGTTAGTTACAGCAACGATGAACCCATACCTATAGATCATGCGTTAAGCATCAGCCTTACTTGCCCGAGCATGTACCTTCGATATCTGAAAAGAGCTTCGCTTTTACGATCTCTATTAAATGCGGGCCGAAGTATTTCGGGTGTAATAAAATCTCATGCTCTAACTGCATCTAAAAGCTAAGATCCATTTAAAAAACCCCTACATGGTAGAACATGCCTCAGACGTAAATGGACGACAAAATCAGCCAAACTGCGAATGGACAGAAAGGTTAAGTGTTCACCACTAATAGGAACAGGAATTCGGGACAAAATAAAGAGTAAAATCGCAATGTAACGTTTTGTTTTTTTACGTTCATCAAAAATAAAAATTAATTAAAAGTACTACTAGCCATGCATTACTATGCTTATGTTAACTTCTCAACCAGCAGTAACTTTGAGTTCGATTTGAACTTATTGTGTGATCAGACATTCGATCCGGCCCTAGGTCCGATCTTTCCTTGTCGCCTTCGGCCAACTTCATTGGGTAAACTTAATCCCTTTTTTCATTTTATAGGTAGTCTCAGCGTGCTGCAAAACATTGCTATATGCTGGGTATATGATCGACAACGAAATGGCACGACTTTGGGCGAATCTTATCCAATTCTTGTAAAGTTGCCAAATACACCGCGTGGTGTGAAAAGTATACATGTTCCCTAAATTGGAGTTTAAGCGATTGGGTTCAAATCCCACTCAAACACTGCAAGTGTATGGTGGAAGGACGCCTCCCAGGACTTGCGCGTGAATGTCAGGTGCATCTTCAACTCTACGATCTGCACCTTCGCATCAGCCTCTCTTGAGAGTTTAGTAAAGCTTAAGGCAAAAGCAGAGCGACAGGTACTGCATGAAGTAATTTGCAGATATTCACCTGTGGCTTTTGCTAATTTTATTCGGAATTAATACGTTTGCGATCAATTTTAAAAATTAGCCCATGCAACTTATATTTTGTTGTAGAGGTGCGCTAGTTTCTGTTTTTGCATAAACGCATTCGCATTTCAATGGCATTTTTGCAGCCCCTTAGAATTGGCTATTTTGTTTAACGTTTTAAATGAAATTATTAATACAAGTTTTCTCGTCAATTCTTTAGAAATTTATAAATGTTTGTAATCATGACCTACCTGCCCTCTCAACACGAACGTCTCTGGTGTGGGGTCGCTCCGTTGAGCGGGTGTTTCCCGATACATGGCGGATGCTGATGTTGATTTGTCAAAAAGACATGGCACAAGGGTGTTTAAGAAAAGTAGCCCAAACGGAAAGGCATGTCCGTCTATGCATTAATTTACTCATTTAGATCACAGCATATCTATCTAAGAGGGATTTTTTGGACCATCTGACATACGTCGATCCCATCGGTACATCTTTAGATTACAAAATAGATTTGGTTTTGATTAGAGGGCGTTGTTCTTGTTGATGAAGCATACGTGAAAAATCGTCGTGTATTCGTTCACGTCTTGGCTGCGTTTCGTTATGGACGGGAGGATCTCGATGTCTTGGGACTCTCATTCCGGAAGGACCTGTTTTTAGCTTCTGCACAGCTGTATCCGCCTCAACAACCATTTTTAGACGATCTTCCAGTTAACCCTATTCCTGTTGTCGCCGTTGCCTCATGCAATTCCGAAACCAAAACTAAAGGCTCTTCGTCCCATGGGGAAGAAGATTCTGCTGATCCTGAGAATGCTCCCATTGATTCCAAACCCCTTACCCGCCTCCAAGAACGTCTTATTAAAAAGTTAGGGCCTAGTGCCTATCCTTTTTATTTTGAAGTACGTTCAACTTTGCGATTTGGGCGCTTTCTTCTTTTGTTTCACTGGTTATGTTTGTCATGTGGGTTTGTCTGGCTGATTTTGGGTGTTTTGCGTTTGGGTTAGAGTTTTAAACCTTTAAAGTGCATGTGATTTGTATAGTTCATCCACACAGCTTATATTCATTTGAGTGATGCCGCAAGCTCTGTATTTTTGCGCCTTTTGCTGAACTGCGGTATATAGTATCATATTTTTTTATGAACACACGTAAATACTTGGTGTCTGTGCCCTCTCCGTTTGTGCAAAGAAATCTTCTTATCAAAGGTAATATTCGAATGTAGGTTCGAGATTTTTCATTTTAATTGCGTAATTTCAAAAGTTTCCAGGTTGCTGCCTTTATTAGTTTACACAATACGACTTCATTTTTTTAGTCGCTGGCAATTGCTCACTCCTTCCCATTCAATGCAAATGTCTGCATATTTGTGGTCGTTGGGCTTATTGAGCTTTTTCCTTTTTTATTGCTAAACCGATAGCTTTTAAGCTGGAGCATCTCCTTGTCCAGTTTGATTTTTTGATATTATCTAACTTCCATCATCATTCCAGTCGGTTTCTGCTCCATTGAAAAAACTTCTAGCTTTAACACATTGCAGGAGTCGGATTGTTTCCCAATAAAAGGAAATGAAGAGATGGGTAGCAGTTAGGAAACGGAATGACAGTGGCCATAATGTCACCTATGTCTTGCTTCAACCTACCTGTCCGTTTTCGTTCTTATGGCCCTAAATCATGTCCATAAGCCTTTCCATTGCTCTTCTGGCTATTTGTTATTCGATGAGAAGCGTCTCTCTAACTGCTTTCAGACTGGACATAATTCTCTTGTCTTGTGGGGAAACCTGAAGCACAAGATGTTTTATAGTAATCGCCACAACCATTGTGGTTATTTTCATTCATGCGACTACTGCATCAAGCATCTTTTGTGGTAGCTTTTGGTGCTTTAACTTTTGTGTTATTTGACAATAATAGTTACATACCAGGTAGTTTTGATTGACGTAGTAGTGTAAAGTTTACCTTTTTCGTTTTAGCTTCCATTCGCTACGCCGGCATCGGTCACTCTGCAGCCTGGTCCAAGCGACAGTGGAAAGGTGAGTACGTATGTATCATGCAGTTGTTTACTGGTCACTTCTATGTCAGCCCTGTGACGTGGGAGAAGTGAAGTAGTCGTGCCCAATGCTATAAATCAAATGCACGACATTTGTATCTGTATGTGAATGCACTGAGTACGCCACCAAGGCAGCGTGATTGGATTTGACCAGTTGTTGTGACCGCACTATTTCATTTCTTTTATATGAACCAATGGCAATGGTCACACACCAATGCTCCAATTCGCATAATATTTTCTCGTTTTTTTCTAATCCTACCTTTCGAATTGATGCTTGAGGACGGTTCGGTGTTCCAATGCCTACTCGATTCGATCTTATGTTCCACCTAGCCAATTTTTCATCTGACATTTGACGTACCATTCCTCCAAATTGCTATATTCGATGCTATACTTAACTTGCGCAATTACTTGAGTTTTGCCGATGCTATGTTGATGCAATACGAAGAGGTTTGGACATTCAGAGACTCGTTTTCCTTAAATCCGATGCACATTCGGTGGTGAAGGTCATTCACTCCTTGCCTGCTATACCAGTTTTTTCTATGCTCTTTATGGCATAAAATAATCACGACCTCCATTTTTTCTCTTAAATCTTGCCTTAAGTGATGCTTACGCGCTATTTTAGTGGTTGTACAGTTGTCATTCTCCCCATTCAAACTCACTTTTAGTCTTTGTTATTTCCTTCATCGCTGTAACAATCTCATCCTTTGTAAGTTCTTGAACCAAATAGGAATACTAATCAAACATGAATACACTGGCATCCCAATCTCATCTACTGTCATAGACTTTCAAAATGATGGCATTCGATATTATGCAGTTTAAAATCAGAGGGTCATCAAATGGACGTAATTAAAGACTCTAAAAACTTGATAATTCTTATCTTTGACTTGTGCTATTACTTACTTGGCAGGTTTTTGGACGTCTGCACGATTGATGTTGGTGTATTTGCTTCATTTTCTGATTTCAGCCTTGTGGTGTGGATTATGAGCTGCGGGCTTACATAGCTGAAGAATGTGATGAAAAACCTCAGTCACGGTACGTTAAATTTTTCGTTACCTACAGTTAAGCAAGTTAATCCCTTTGTAAAGTTGTTGGTAGAACCTTGGGACATTCCTCGGGTTTCGTCTTTGGAACGCTTCAAATTTTTGCTATTTTACAATTTAGAATACTGAGTTCACCACTGCTTCGGTAAAGGGTATAAATTCAACTACGTTTGTTAGTTTGCCTTTTTGTTTAATTAAATTGTACTCTTTTTTGGAATAAGTTTTACACCATAATGGCACTACAATTTCTATCTATCGAAAAGACAATCAATGATGTTGTTCGTTTCTGCTTTTCTTATTCATGACGTCCATCGAGCATTTGAAGTCAGGCTACCGGATCGAATAGTTGTCAGTCCAAGGTATTTGCTTGAGTCAAAAATTAATGAGCATTACCTTAGCAGCAGTTTCCTTCACGGAGTCGGTTTGCATATGGACTTTCGTGTTTGTAACTGAGTTATTTCGAATATTGGGGAGCAAAGAACTCAAAGAAAAGGCGTAAGCTGTGTTTAGCAACTCAAGTGACACTAGCTACCAACATTCTTTTCAATGTTTTTTTCCACCTCTTCCCATTCTGTGTTAACAGTCAGGCATAGGTACTGGCAAATTTTCCGACTAGTTTCATCACGTTGAATCTTGTCTTGACCTTAAAAGTACCTACCGCTGAGATGTAAGAATTGTAGACACTGGAGATATTCTCTTATTTACAAAGTTTATAGTTCTTGAGACCCTGAATTACCAGTAGTTTTAGCATGGCTTAATTGTTGCGCTTAACATCTCTCGAATTATCTGCACTTTATATCTTTTCTACTTCCTATTTCAGCTCAAAGGTGGTTGGTTGTGTGCCTATCAGCCGATGGTCACTGCCCCTGAAAAATGAAAATGCTTTCAAAGTTCAGCCAAATCCACGGTCATATTCGCACTTTTTAATACGCACTTACTCTAACCTCTGATCATGCTTGTGCCTTTAATTGCTTCCCAATTAATTCGTTTCAGATGTCACTGTCATTAAAAGATCAAAGTGAACCTTCTACTCACTGATTAACGGTCCCAGTTGCTTAATTGCGTCGACTTTGGGACACCGCACTTTCTCTAGCATTTTGATCCTTATGGAAGCGCTCATACTCTTTCAGTGAACACTTTATCGCTACTTTTATCAAACCTTGTTCCGAACGATCTTAAAATCATTTACGTAAATTTGATCTACTGATCACTTTCTTCATCTTAAAATAGATATTGTAAAGTCATTGCCTATGGATTTCGTCAAGGAGTTTTTAAAGGTGGCGAATTTTCAGGAAGTTCTCTCTGTGAATCGCTTCATGTGTACGCTTGTGCTTACTCTATTCTCGCTTCGCCATTTGAGTTGAGTTGCTTTCAATCTGTACGTCTGTGCGTGTAGGTCAATTATTGTTCTAAGATAATTAATTCCAAGGTCTAACTCGTCTCCATTCACATCCCCTTGTTTCAATTGTTTGATCATCAAATGTTTTTGCTTTTTATTCGATGAGAACATAGTCGAGTTGTTTCATTTTTTCGTGTTTTTGGTGAATCCTATTGCATTTTATGATTTGCGACAATCATTTGGTTTTGCGCTAGTTTTAAGTTTCAAACTTTTGTTGGCTTCATCAAAATCTTGAGACCTTTTTTCATACCGTTTTTGGCAGAGGGGCTCCAGAAAAGCCATGACAGCATACTTCCAAGGGGAGCATAGGATTGGCCTGTTTTAAAGACTTTGTAATAGAATTTTTCTGTTTATAGATGGAATTTAGGGGTGAAGATCATTTTCTCAAATATAATAGCACTGACTTGATGTCTCTTAACTTTGCCCCTAAAAGTCCCTCCCAAAGTCTTCTTGCTCTATCGCGTTGAATTAGTCTAGGGCAGGTTGCAAAACGGATGCAGAGGATTGTGTATCTAGAATTCCATGTACTGCGCGCACGAAACCGATCGTGCTTTATCTTAGCAAAGGCCAATTCTATCGGTCGGTTTTCTAGGAGTTCAGTTCGGATGGCCATTCGGAAGTTGACCTACGCTCCGGAGGGATCAGTTCCTCAGCCTTCAGCAGAAATCGTCAAGGACTTTATAATGAGCCCCGGAACTCTGCGTCTCGAGGTCTCACTCGACAAAGAGGTTTGTCCCATCGGTTCGATTCTGGTTTCTTGACGTTTAAACGTACTGCACTTTTATTCACTAATTCTTGCCTGAACCGAGCTACTCCTATCATCAAATTAAGTCTCATTTATACGGCTTGGTAGTTTGATCGTGTACTAAAGATTTCGGTAGTCCATGTGTCGCTTAGATCATTCATTTCGCGTGGGCGAAAAGCCCAGAGTTAGGCACAATTATTTACTTCCATTTGTTTTCTTTCCGCAAAATAAGGACTTATCTCTACCTTATTTAAACTCACGATGCTTTTAACGATCCTCTCGTCTGAACCCATCTTAATCGACACCGAAATAAGCCATTAGTTATGATGGGCTTTGCCTGTTTGAATTTTGTAGAAATACTACCATGGCGAGTACATAGCCGTTAACGTGCTGGTGGATAACAACTCCAACAAAACCGTGAAAAAGATCAAGGTGTCAGGTGCGTACAACTCGATTTGAATTGTTTATGAATTTCTTTTGTGGAAATTATACGTGTTCTCTTCCTTTATAGTGATTCAGGTGGCAGACATCATGCTGTTCAGTCGTGCCGTCTACAAGTGCACAGTTGATGAGGCGGAGTTTGAGTAAGCCATTGTAGATACGCATATGGGAATGTCATGAAACTCAAACAACCTTTTGTCTTAGTAATCTCGCCATCTCTTCGTTCATTACTAGTTAATCAGAGGTAGTTTCGTCATAGGCGTTCATCATTTATACTTACCGCGCTGATTTCAATTTGAAAAGTCTTGACACTTCTGCCTTTTGAATTACTGGCCAATTTTGTTGCTTCGTCCGCCCCTCTTGATTTATGTTCGTGTACTGGTAGACCAAACTCCAATCCCTTGCTTACCCTTTGGAAGTGTAACATGGCTACTGAAAAGTAGGCTCGCTCATTCAAACTTGCCTGTACCTGATATCACAATTTCTATAAACACGTAGGGCTGTGATGCAGCTTTTCATCCAGGGGTTACAAACATAGTCGCCAGTTGAGTTCCTCAATCCATTCTGCATTCAGCATTGGTAGGCATCCCATCAAATGATCGTTTTCCTAATACACTCTCATGGTTCTTCTAGTCTACCGACCTGAAGGTGAATTCTGCTGGAGACTAGAAACTAGTTGCGCCTTGTTATGATAACGCTTTTATTTTAAACACGAGAACGTCTTACACTTTTGTGAAAACATAAGTTTATAGGTATTGTTTGCAAATATTTCCTAAAAGTGGCGTGGTCATCCTCTCTGTTGCACACCTACGAAGGGATAGATATTTACTATGCACTCAAACCTCGTTAAATACATTCTAATGCATTCCGTCTTGACCAATTTTTTTATGCATAGAGAGGGTTGTCCAATCCTGCCGAGTCAGACAGGCTGGTGTAAGGTATACCACATGTGTCCCCTTCTCTCTAACAATCGTGAAAAACGCGGCCTCGCTCTCGACGGGAAACTCAAGAATGAAGACACAAATTTGGCCTCTTCGACAATGTAAGGCTTTTCTCTCCTCTTCTTCACCCACTCTTACCCCCTGTCCTTCTACAAATTGGTCAGAACGTTGTACAGTGCCGAAACCCCCTGCCTGTAAACACGCACAAGGCCTCTTCTTCCTATCGCTGATTCCTGGTAATGCTTTATTTGTCCTCTCATCGCTCTTTCTCACGCCCATTTGGAAGAAGCCCATCACCCTCTTAACTGCCTGGTTTTCCCGATCGGCATGAAATTTCGCAGTTACTACGTTCGAACCCAATAAAGTTCATAAGTATGGCAACAAAATTTGGTTTAAGGATTCATCTCTCAAGTTCAGGTGCTTTTTTATTTCCAAACTCACTCTCATATGCCATTGCCTCACTTCAAGAAAGGTGCTTCGATCTCTAGAGTTGTTTTTAAATTTGACATTACACCCTCCACTTTTCCAGCGATAATTAACGAGACGGCAAATCTCAGTATCTATCCGCAAGCGAATGCAATGGCATTAGGGACTCCAGTCGGTTACGACCTCTAAAAAAGGTCAAATGAAAGGCGTTCACACATATAACACTTTAATTCTCCAAGTTACAATGACATATTACTGTCAAGATGTTGTTCTTGGCTTTGGAGTAATCAGCAGTATTGGTGAGAAAAATTATTCTACTTTATTGTTTGGATGTCAAACAGCTGGTGTGTGTTTTAGTTAAAGTTAGCCGATTTAGTACAGATAATAAACTTGGTCTATTTGCCCGTCGTGACTCTTGGAAGCGGGTGAATTGATCCCCTGTGTTAGTTATTGAGAAGGCTTAGCCTTTTCAAATAACTGATAACGCCCTCTTTTAGCATAATCGACCCCACACAGAAGGAGAATCTTGGTATCATTGTCCAATACCGTGTTCGAGTGCGACTTGTTCTCGGATTCGGAGCAAGGTAAGTGTTGCCCTTCTGGCCTTTGGCGTGATTAAATGTCCACCACCAGTACATCCTTTTAATCTGTATGTCGCGACAATTATCGAGGCAGCAAGCCTTATCTATTCACATAATTCCATCGGTGGCATTAACGGCTCTTGTGGTGTCACCATAGCGACGTGTCGGTGGAGCTGCCTTTCACACTGGCACATCCTAAGCCTCCTCCAGAGGAAAGTGATGCCGAATGCGGCAGCGCCTTTGTTCCCTCGTCTCCGCTCGCCGAACATGGGGTGTTCAAGGGCGAAACGGATCAGAGAGATAAAGAGCGAACTAAGGGGGAGGCAAATGTCATCACCGGTGCTGCAACAGGTGACTTCATCGACCTTGAGGATTCTCTCTCTATTAAACGGTAGGCCAGTCTTTTCGTTCATCATCGCCATCTTTTCATCCTCACTTGTCTGTCCGCTGCTGATATTAGCTTAGTTTTGTAGTTGATCTACGGTGAAAGCCTTCAGAAATGGTTAACCAAACTTATCCACTCATATCTAGATAGTATCTCCACTTTGATCTACTGCAAAAAAGACTTCACTATTTCGAAATGGAAATGAAACGCCCCGACTCTAGATTGGATAAATTAAACCATTACTCGAAATTGGTTGGCTCTTGAGGTCCGATTTCCCTTTCTCACATCCTCGTCTTGCGCCACGAACTGTTTTAGCACATTAAAATTGCACATTCTTTAACAAAAACGCTCATCCTTGAATGGAATGTCTCAATCGTTTCCTAATTTTTTTTCCTTCATAGCAAGGAATGCAAATACATCGTGTTTCCACTGCAATTTTACACTGCGATTTTTGGCTAATTTTCTGATGCACGCAACTGGTCGAAGATACTGTTTCTAGATCGTCAGCTATTATCTCTTAACCACACAGTGTAGTGAATTTGCCCAATGACGATTTGATCTTCGAGGACTTCGCTCGTCTCCGGCTGCGCGGACAGGATTCTACAGCAGGTGTAGGTGAGGAGGCGATGCCATCCTCGAGCCCCACCCCCGTCATTGAAGACACCCACCAATCTACTGTCGTCGTGTCCACCGTTTCTGGTGCCCCCGCCGTTTCCACTGCCTCCCACTGAGCTCCTCACCACTGCTGCAATAATCACCGCCATGTGCAATAAGTATATACATGCTTTCTTTCACCCCACTTTTTCATAGTCTCGCCCTCCCGTTTCTTTCCCTCAAATGAGTGTATGGCCCTGAGTGTCTCCTATGGTTCCAGTTCTCACTCTGACCATGACATCCTTGTGTATTTAATTAATATCTTCCTGTGCACACACACAAATAACTTACAACTGCACTTGATTTTCGCTATATTTTTGTCGTCAATTTAATGAATGCATGCAACTGGCTTGTGTAATCAGCATGGCCTTCTTTATCGTTCCTAGGATTATGGTTGGAGAATAGTTCTTTCCTTAGTGTCTCTAACAGATTATATTCTCGGCCAGTATTTCTCACTTATTTTGTGTATTGGGAGTGATATCTCCTGAAATTAAAGAGAACAAAATTAAAGCCATAAAGCTGCCTAATCTGCTCAATTTCCACTGATTACAACGGCTTCTACTTGTCTTCATTCACACCGCCCCCCTTGCTATCACCACTGCACTATTTTCATGTATTCGCTCTGCGTGACCGCCTTAAAAAATCGAGTTTTCATTGTCCATTAAGTTGAGATTTCCTGACTTGTGTCTGAATTATCAAATCCTTAACTGCACAATGGCACACATAACCCTTTTACTTGGGGGATGCTGAGAAATTGTGGATAGTTTTAATATTGCGCCTACCCGAGTTCTCTTGCACAATTGTCCGATGGATATTGGGGGATCTGCCTTGGTGCAGATGTTTGTTGAAGAGCGTTGGCAGAGACGTGCAGACTTCACTTCGAGCAACGGGGTGATTGAACTGAGGTTGTCTCGTCTATGACACGTCTGATCGTCGGGATGGTGTCGACGGGCTTCGACACTCACATGCGGGTTGTGGACTGCATCAGAGATTGGCTTCAGGGGAAAGTAGGAGTTTATTAAGTTTGGTCTGAGTGAGGAATGCCGCCCAAAGGATATGGTAAAGCTTGTGTTGTTATAGTTTGAAGCAACCGCATCTCACATCTCATTCCTGCAGCACAGAAATGTTATTGTCTTTTGGTCGTGCTACAAGACCGAAACTCCTAACTGTTAACACGCCACACGCTTGTGTGGGTGGCACATCGTAAGAAAAAGGCTTCACTCCAAAGTGGCATATTCGTACCCTAGCTACGGCTTTGATTTCGTGCTAATTGACAATGGATAAAATATGTAGCGAACTTCTGAACTTATTTTGCGATAAGGTTATAGCCTGGCTTTGTGTTGGTTAGTTGATGCTTTAAAATGTTCTGGAAAAGTGCTTCTTATCTTACTGAGAGTAGAGAATGAAATAGTTGCCACTAATGACGATCATATGAATTGCACGCTATTCTCTCATTCTAGGTAACTACTTATGTTTGGTATTAGGGAGTCACGAAAATTGCTTTCAGCTTGCCTTTAGTGAATCGTAAGTGTCTTGGAAAACGGAACGCTCCTCGGAATTGTCCTCCTTTCTCCGATTACGTGGAAAAGGAATGATGGGAGCTGCGAACATGCCATCCAAAGGACAATATGGAGCTCTGTTGACGGAATAGTTACGTTATGATGCAACCAGTGATATAAGACTTCCTTATCTCACACAATATTATGTTGTCCATATGAATAACGAGAAGCTTTGACAAAAGAGGTGCTAACGCCTTGAAATTGCGAAATAAAGCTACAATGCAACGTGGGGACATATTTATACAATCTATCGATTTATTTCGTGCTTGACCTCCTTAATTTAAGGTCAAGTGAACACAGAATCGCCAAGTCGGTCAAATCCTATTTGAATGGCCACGTGATGCCACTTTTCACAATATTCATGGGACTTTTAACATTGACAGCAGAAAAATGGGTGCTACTTTGTGCACTGATGGAAGTCACAGAACCTTCTAGTGTCCTTAAAATAGGCTCAAAACACACGATCTCCAGTCTGTATTATTTGTCGAGCATTGTTTTGTCTGATGTGAAAGCACTTTTTACTTCCCAATCTTTTAAACATGAAGAATTAGCTGTCACGACTTCATTCAAATGGACCTAAAACGCCATTCTGTAAATCGCCTTTTAACTCGAAGTTCTCCTACACCAGCCAAGGTGTAAGAATCAGATTCCTCCAGCTTCGCAATTATCAACTCAAAGGTATCAAAAAATGCCGGTCAAATGAACAACTGCGATGGGTGTCACGAATCTCGAACCACGATATGAGTTGGAGAAATTTAAACATTATTGGTATCGTCTCCACTGTTGTAAAGCCCATGTATTGTATTATGTGCGGATTTTTTACAGACGTTTTCCAAAATATAGTGGAAACAACTAGTGAATGAGTGTGAAAACTGACATATGAAGAAGCCACTGATCGACACATCTTGTATGGAACACGTGGTTGCAGCCACAGAGTTTCCTCACTTCATCTCCTTCACGGAAATGCATCAGGCAGATCCGACACTGCCGTCCCGGTGTCAGAAGACCTCGTGCAGCCCCGAATTCCTTCGTTCCCCTTAAGGCTCTCCTCTTAGGCAGGCTGATGCGTGCAACCTTAACGACCCATTTGGCGATTTGACACAGCTCTTTTCTACACAATGGTTTTTTGAGAACTTCCGAGGCAGATAATGACCTTAGGCAACATATAACCTCAGTTTTACAATAGATAAGAACGCAGCCACAAGCAGCAGCGCTGCCTAGATCAAACTTAAGACATCATGATTTAAATCTGAACTGACTTTATGCAATAGTCCTCCCCAAATATTCCATTTAAAAATGCAAAGAGCAGTGAAATAACTCACCAAAACATAATTTTTTCCCCATCCTGCTTATCAAGACCGTTAAGTATGCTAAATTTTGAAGGCATTCTGCGCCATTTTTCCGACATTTTCTAAACAAATCACCCCAAAATTTGTAGAACCAGCTTATGCGCATCGATTTTCAAGTATACTAAAAAAACTTAGAATAACCTCTAAAATTATCAAAGAATGGTCTTGAGAACAGGGATCTTGTGCTAATTGCTTGGGGAAACAGTAACCAATGTCGGACCTTGAAGCTGTTCCAATGGGCAAAGAAGTTAAAAAGTTGGGTAAGTATGAGAAGGTGCTGCATCAAAAAAGCACCTGAGTCAAGTGGACTAGTATTGCAATGTAAATGCGAAAAAGATACGGATTAGTTGCATGGAACTTGGTCAAAATGATCGAAACACCAAATTCACGTTCACAATGCAACGTTTTTACCTCTCTCCAATAGAATCTGGACTTTTCTGCTACGCAGGCCCTTGTTCGTTGCTCGAAACACTTACTACAGAGCAACACATTTGTTTTATCAGTGATTGAAAAAATTTCATCATCACCAGCACAATATAACCGCCCAACAATTGGTGAACATTGGCAATCAGCGCACACGGCGTTGTGCTCTTCAAACAGTTCGAAGTCCCTGATTATGCGCTCTGACGACCAATCTGTATTCCAAGCATCCTTGCTTGTTTTAGCAAAGTAGTTTTCGCAGAGTTTAATCTCTAATAACAGGTCTTCTAATTTCGAAAACTCGCCTCTACACATCGGGCAGGATACTGAATCAGACCTATCTAAGCAAAAACGTAGTTAGAGCATCTTACAGAGTTACTTAGATTCCGCTCCTGGATTTGGTGATCTTTCCACATCTTCATGCATTTAATGTGCACATTGTTTCCACAACCCTTGCGGCAATATGTTACAGGAAACCTCTGACGACGCAGAAATTCGTCTTGACAAATGGGACAAATGTCGTTTGCTTCAATATCACGTTGCCTAATTTGAGACTACAAGGCCCTGAGATTCATCTAAAAACATACATCAAAAGAGCTCTCCAGCCCAGTTCTTAAATAAGTATGGGCTTTTTTACTAGTTTCAGTATCCTGTCTTTCCAAAATAATCGAAATCTCTCTTTCGCAAAGACCACTTTGCCATGACACTTGCGATACAAAATTAAGTAAACTTGTTTACGTGGATCGTGCTTATCCAGCCGAAACTTTCTTAAAAGAATCCAGCATATGTGCTTGCACAAGTCATTTTTCTTTGCAAATAGCTTGCAGCTACAAGTATGCCGTTCACCGATGAATACCTACAAAGTATAAGCAGTACATACTAACTTTAAATTTCTGTTTCTCATTTTCGGCCTGGATAAGAAACCCCATTGGACCGTAATTTTGTAAAATACACATAGTGCTATTAAGCGCTGTATTTTGGTTCTCCTCAACAAAAAGAGAAGCTTCCCTTTGAAATGCTTTGCCGAGCATTTTACCATCAAATTTGCAACTTAAATTGGCGGGTGACGCGTACCTATAGTTGGAGCGAGGTGTTAGCACAATCAAATGCAATGCATCATTAAGTTGGCATTTGTTGTAGTTCTACATTTTAAAAAAAGATTACATAAAATTAAGTAATTAAGTGCTAATGCTTCCAAACATGAATTTGTTTGGCTGAAATTTAATAAAATCGTTTTTTACATTGTAAGTGCGATAGGTGCGACATACTCAAGGCGTAATGATTTGTGTGAAATACTGCCTATGTGTGAGATTACTAACATTCTTAGATTTGTTCGACGGTGAAATAAGGCCGTTTTCTTTTAGTAATGAATGCATATTATTCTACCAAGGAATTTTTCCTATATCCAAAAATCTTTTGCCTTTATTATGTTGCACAACCGCTTGTCACGTTTTTATCTTTATTATTGCGCCCTTAAGTTTTATTTGTGGCCTCATTGCGTAGTAGTCATATGTTCATTGCATGCTATGCCTTCCTTTATTCAAGGAAAAATCACATGCGACTGTGACTACGCGTGTGCCTCTTAAGAATAATGCACTATATTTAATTCTTGCCCCAAATCTGATAGCGGTAATTGCGTACGTCAATTGAATAACCTTGACTGAAGGGCTTAGTGTTTAAGTTGGTTGAACCGGGCACTCCAGTGTTCATTGAGCTTCGCGAGAAATGTCTGGTGAATCTCGGGAAGTGAAAACGCACCAGAAGAAGTCTATTTTTGAATTTGAAGGGTATGCCGATGATGACGACGATGAAGAGGTGCCAGAAAGAGAAACAGCAATCGACCCTATTTGGGAAAAGCAACAGAAGAAGGTTTGTCTTTCTTTAACCTTATTTTCAGACGTTTACTGCTTGGTGTAATCTACATTTAAAGAAGAAGAACGCAGAAATAACCGTCATTGAGGAAGATTTTCGTAACGGGTTCAATTTACTGTTGCTCCTGGATGCCATTTCTGGCGAACAGTTGCCTCCCCCTGAGCGCGGCAAACTTCGCGTTCATAAAATATTAAATGTTAATAAAGCACTGGACTTTATTCAGAAGAAGGGTGTCAAATTAGTTGGTATTGCTGCTGAAGGTTTGGTCATTGTTATTACAGCTATGTTCCTATAGAGATTGTCGATGGAAATGTTAAGATGACTCTTGGCATGATATGGACCATCATCTTACGATTTGCTATTCAAGATATTCAAATTGAAAGTATCGCATAGTGTTCTTACAAAGTTGTATGTGTAGATTGCTCTGCTAATGATGGTCTTCTTCTCTGGTGTCAGCGTTCTACTGAACCCTATCCTGAAGTTAATGTGAAGAACTTTAATACTAGGTATTATAACATTACATCATAGTGTTCTTCAGCTTTAAAGATGGAAAGGCCTTCTGTGCCATCATCAATCGGTATCGTCCTGATCTACTTGACTTTAATGATGTTGCCAAGGCGTCCGCTCGTGATGCACTTACGAAGGCTTTTGACGTTGCGGAGGAAAGCCTTAGCATCCCGAAAATGCTTGATGTTGATGGTTTGTGGTTTGTAGAGGTCTATACTTTTTAGATATGATTGAGTCAGTCAAGCCCGATGACCGCTCTGTCATCACATATGTTTCATGCTTCTTCCACTTGTTTGCTGAGGCTGAGAAGGTAGTATAGTTCTTATTCCCTTTTATCTTACTGTGCAGACTAGTGCAGCTGCCACTCGCATCAAAAAGGCAGTGGAAATTAGCCAAATGAGCGACCAATTATGTGACTCCTACAACAGTCTTTTTACTGATTTGAAAGAGTGGATTATAAAGAAGAAAGCTGATTTCGATGTAGGCAATGCCTTTTTATTTTCTCCAACAGTTACAAATCGCTTCTCATTGTTTTAGCTTCGGAAGCCAATTTTGAATTTAGAAGATGTCAACAAGAGCATAGAAGGGCTACGTCAATATCAAACCGAAGAAAAACCGGCCAAAATTGAGGAGAAGTCGCATCTTGAGACCACGTTTCGCACACTTCAAACCCGTTTGCGTCTTAATAATCGGCCTCCTTACCTGCCATCCGATGGAATGTTGATAGCTGACATTTTAATCCTTTGGAAGGAGTTAGAGGTTTGCGAGAAAAATTACGAGGTTTGTTTCCTATAGTACTGCCTTTTCTCTTTTCACTCTATAGGCGGTGTTGAGGTATAAACGTGGTTTTTCTTTAGGAATGGCTTATGGGAGAACGGAAGCGAACCACCACGCTAGCCTACTGGTTATCACGCTTTGAGGTCAGATGCAAGACATTCGAGGCCTGGGCAGGTGGCAAATCGGACTACCTCAAGTCCTCTGATTACACCACATGCACCGTCGCAGAGGTCCGCCCCATGCTGAAGAAACATGAAGCCTTTGTCTCTGATCTAATGGCCCAACAGGATCGTGTTGAACGCATCGAGTCTATTGCCCGAGAAATTAGGTCTCTAATCTCTTACGGTCATATGTTCTGCTGGTCTTGTGTCATCTCCATTTTTGCTACGCCTTTTTGCAACAAGAATCCACTTTTAACTGTGCATTTGCTGATGACTTGTAAATGATTTATTGAAAGTTTGTGTATGTTTTTTAGCGCGCTTCTACGCCTCAGACGTTTATTTTGCTTTTTTAATTTTAGGAACCTTGGCTATACCGACATGCCTTCAATTGATGGTAGATGCACACAAATTAGGAGCAGTTGGGATTCCCTTAAAACCCTTTCAGATAGACGTCATCAAAATCTTTCAGTAAATTTCAGTCTTTTGTGCGTCCTTTTGGGCCGTCAAACTGAGCACTTCTGTATTTGTTCTTTTTATGGAAACTAAAATGGCGTATTTTGGCTATCTTCCTTTACATTTCACTGTCTCATCACATTTGCATTTCTTAAGCACTAATTTTCATTGTTAAGGCCACACTTCAAGTTACTAACTTTACTCTTATTGTAAGGGGGCACAATCCGTTTTGGAAAAAATTGATGCGAAGCATCTTGAGATTGCTAAGCTCTCTGCGGTGAGTGCTCTTTCCTAGCCTATTTACCCTGCAAACTTCAAAGTTTAAATGATGACGTTTCTTTTAGCCGTTTCATAATTGGATGCAGCAGGCGGAGGAGGATTTACTTGACAAGTTCATCGCTCAGTCCATCGTCGACGTTGAGGTAGGTCTTTCTACCGTACTAAAGACAGTACCTGTTGTCGTTACCTTTCCAAAGGTAGAATACGATCTCCAATTTTGGTTTCTTGATCCTTTTGTTCCTGTTGTTTTCATCCTACTGTCCTGAATAAAAGCACCTGAGTGTTATTTCTCTGCCCTCTATCTGCAGCTTTTCGCACCTCTCGCTGAGTCCTCATTCATGCTCTGGTGGTGTGTTTAAACGATCAATGTCAAGTCAACGTCATTTTATTCTGGCAAGCTCCTTGCTGAGCATAACAAGCGATGATTATGTTGTTCATTGTTTCTTTTGACGCATGCTCTTTCGGCATACCCACAAAGACCGTTTAACCTCACCTTGCTTCGACCCCTGTGGTCATGCCAACTTGTGGCGCGTGCCGTTTTTTAATATGTTGACCTAAAATTTGTACTTGATGTTTGCAATTGTTAGACCTGGATTTTATTGCCTATCACAGTCAATTTTCTTCAGTAGTCCCCTTGGGCAAACACTATTCCAATTCGTAGAGTTGTATTTATGACAAGGGTTAGTGAAAACATGTCACTGCCACGCCTATGATCTAACTTTTTCAGAAACTGATTAAAACTCACGGTGAATATGAGAAGTCATTGAAGGCGAAGGAGAAAGAATACGGGAACATCAAGGATTTGGAGGTCGAGATTGATGACCTCTGCAAACAGATTAACAGAGAATCTATTGTGAACCCCTACACTAATGTCACTACTTGCGTAAGTCTGACGATTTGCCTTATCTCCAAAAATGTGATTGTACCTACATTAGGGTTTCATTCTCATTCGTTCTTACTCGCTTAAATTCACTTAATACACTGAGGTATATCGTGGCACTTCAACTTAATTCAATTATTGCCTGAAAAGTCATTTGTTACCCTTGCATCCGACCGAATTTTTTTTCTCATTTGCAGCGAGTTTGAACTCCAATTAATTTCATTCGTTAGTAATATTGGAGGATAGGTCGCGTCATGGCTGCAACTCGCTTTTTACCCTTTTCATATTCATTGAATACTACCGTCCCAGTAATAAGGCTTTTGCGCCAGCGTGCGCGCGTCTACCCGGTTAATTTGCAATGCTTAGTAGGCCATTTGCTTTTCTGGTTGCCATATATAGTCATGCCCACTTGAGATATGCGCAGCTCCATGTGAATAGTGCTCTCATTGTCGATGTTACGTGATTCTATGGCTTCTTGCCCTTCTAACCCGGGATTTAGCCATGGGTACATTCACAGACACTTTTCAACGAGCGAGATACAAGTCTTATGCTTGCATAAGTATGCACAAATGATTAGTTAGTTTTTGACTTCTCATTAGTCGTTCAACGATGTAGCTTAAATGAATCGAATCTTACATCTTTATCTTAGTTAATCCCGTCTTGTGCGTTCCTTTTCCAGTGCACCTTACTTTGGAGCTGTGCCTCGTCAAATTGCTTGTATCGGTTGCGCTCATCTAAGTGACCATGCTGCCTGTACCATATGTGGTTGTCCTGAGGTTCATCTCAAAAGCTTTGATCCCCTTCTTTTTGGCTAAATCTATATGCCATACTGAAGTACTATACTTTTCCTTGTCTATAAAGAAACCTCAGGACGCTGCATGTACCTTTCTTGAATTATGATCTAAGGTTCTGCAACCTTTCGCAGTTAATTGTCTGTTTTGGTAGGATAAAATAGCTAACGAAGAGTTAGGTGACTATTCAGTTCATGATATTTTGTGGATCAAATTGAATAAAAATTTATGCCTAGAACAAAGGTAGTCCTTATTCTTTTTCCTGTACAGATGTTGCATGAGCAGTGGAAAATGTTACAGAAGCTGACTGACCAACGCAGAAGGGAATTGGAGCAGGAGAAAGAGCATCAACTAGCCAGTGATCAGGTGCGGAAGCGATTTATTCAATTCGCGACGGAGCTTAATGGCTGGCTTGAGCAGACCCAAGGACGCTTAAACAATGTAGGCCTTGGAGAAGCCTCTCTTGAGGAGCAAGTCAAACTTCTCAGCAATCTTAGTAGCGAGTTGGAGGCCCAACGGCCCAAGCTCAGTGAACTAGAAGATTGCCATCAGGTAGTGGGTTTGTGACCTTGATCCATCGTTTACCTTTTACATTCCTTTAAACTGTGTCATGCTACAATTCCCCATAGCAACTTCAAGATGCGTATGAGGATCTCGATCTTCCTGTCTCAATGGCAACTTTGCGTTCTGTGTGGAATCAACTGTCAACCGGCCTAAAATACACGCAAAACGAAATCGAAAATCAAATATTGACTCGCGACTCCAAGGGCTTGAGTAAGACCCAGTTGGACGACCTGCGTCGTTGTTTCAACCACTTTGACAAAGACCATACCGGTCGTCTCGAGTGTCCCGAATTCAAAGCCTGCCTCGTCTCCGTTGGGCATTCCATCGTGGCAGAGGACAAAAAACAGGTAAATCGGACCTTAGAGTAGTGAGTTAAATGTGGAGTAAGTGGGGGGTTCTGCTTCATACTCCGCTCTAAACGCGCTTAGATGTTTTAAGATAGAACCAAAATCGACATTCATGTGAAACATTTTAATTTCTTACTTAATAGATTAAATATCTGTCGGCGTCTTCGCCAGTTCTAAAAATCGCATTATGGTTGTTCCGTTATTTACCCTGTCTCATAATCTTCATCCTTTTCATTCAACAGCGGAAGACCTCTCTAGACACGGTACATTTGCATGCTGTTTTGTAGTCCTGACTACTACTAATCCTCTAAGCATTGCCTCCAATTCCCCTTTATTTGTTTGCCTCATTTACTCTGAAAATCGCCCTTTTTACGTTGTGTTGATGTTTTGCGGTTATAGCATTTTGTGCTGTCTGTTTTGACTTTTCCGCTGAATGTTGAGATTCTGATTGCAGCATGTCTTCCATACGATCATGCAAAATAACCACACATACGTCCATATCTGGGTTTCATGCAGTAACTGTTTGTACATGTGTTTGTGTATGTTATTGGCGTGGAAATTTTCTTAACTAACTCCTTATTGAATTTGTTCTGCGTTTTGATTGATTCACCCTCAGTTGCTTTCACGAGCTGATAATTCGGTTATTTTTTTACTCGTGCTAACCAGTCCCTGCCTGCGTAATCTGGAGGTGTCCTTTAGACTTCGATGTGGTGTTCCCACTTCGCTACTTGTTTAAGCTTCCTGTCTTGCCCCAATCTTGCTCGTCGATTCGTTATTTAAGTTAATTCGTTTTGCACTTCAGTCTGATGAGGATATTTTGAAGCTGATGAAACAGCTCGATCCCAACTCGAATGGCTCGATTGCTTTTGATGTCTTCGTGGACTATATGACTCGTGAGCTTACCGACTTGGATACATCTGATCAGCTGCTGCAGTCTTTTCGCACAATATCAGGAGAGAAGGTGAGTGGTGCTGGACGCTTTTTGCTTTGTAGATTTGAGTTCGCCAACTTTGGTCTTTTTGCGTTTCATGAGCTCACGGTTTGGGTCATGTTGGTCAGGTGAGCATTAAATTATTTTGCATTTGATTAAGGGATACTTGACGGAGGCCGATTTGCGGCGTGAGTTGCCTCCTGAACAGGCGGAATACATTCTCTCGAAGCTGCAACCTCTGAGTGGCAACCCTGCTGGAGACACTGGCGCCCTCGACTTTGAGCACTACGTCCTCACTATCTACGGCACCAAGTAGAACCCGCTGCCTCTACCCAACCTTCTCTTACATATTTGTCCTAATTGCTGCCAACCTCTCTTATTGACATCTATCAAACAATCACTTTCACAATTATCGTTATTCAATTGCTCTTCTTGATTGGCATTCTCTTCCTTTTGAAAACTGCACTCAATTAGTTGTCATTCCTTTTTTTACGATGTTTTTAAACTTTCTGACTGGAAATGAGGCAGTTTACTTCCACGATCGGAGTTATTTTTACTCACAGGTTGTACGATCGAATTGCTTTCCCCTTCCCTTGCGCTCTGATGTCTTCCAGTTTCTCTATAAGCACCAAGTACAACATGCGCTAATGTTTGAATAGCGCAATTATGTGTCTAATCGCTCTCCATCTCATCTGCTGACTGCATGGGCCATGGTTGTTTGAGGTTGTTTGTGTCCTTAACCGATGGGCTACAAGTCCTCCTTGGGTGGCCTTTGGGTAGCTGCTTCTACGTAATGGGTAAAAGCTGTGCCCAGGAGGATTATATGTGCTATTGCTACGCTTGCCTGCGCCTTCCATGTTTTGCTGCAGAGTGTACATTCGGTTATCTGTGTAATTATGGTTTCGGCCATGCAACTGGCTCAGGCTCGGACCGTAATTTGATTTTGGATCCCTCAATTCAGAGATTCCGAATTTTGTTGTGAAACTGGCTTCGGTCCGTGAGATGGATGTCTGTAAATTTTTGTCATATAGGGTTTGACTGATTTCGCTTGATCGTCACACAACGTTGCCGTACTGTTAATGCTGCTCTCCATGATTACAAAATTTCTTCCTCTATGTTCTTAATTGCCATTTTTAGATTATAATGAGCGTTATGTTAGGGCGCTTTGACCAGAACTTAGAGTTCTTGGTTGCATTTTAGGTTGTTGTTACTTTTCTATCTTAATGGTTGGGACCACTTTGCTACAGAATGTGCCCGTTTTAAGGAAGTTGGTTTGTTTGTTTCACCAAAGCGCTTAAGCCCTTCTGAACGCATCTAAAACTTACACCTCAAGATATTACCAGGGCGATGAATTTACAACTATTCACAATACCGTCTCTTGATCTACCTACGTGATAGCGGTCATTCGTGGTAGTTGAGCTGCTAAGATTTTGCTTATGCTGTCTTTTGCAGCGATGCACCACATCGGTTCCTGCTATGAAACTTCCGAATTGGTTTCCTGGTTGGTATCTGTGTTGGAAACTCGATTCGATGTCACCAAACGAATCTCCATTTTCAACCACTTTTTGTGGTCGTGAACAGAGTTTCGTCCTCTAGTCTGGGGTTCCATTTTGAGGTTGATTTCTGCCGTTATATAAACTGAGTAGTTCTTTCGACTCCACTGTCAGCCTCAATTTTGTCGTTTTTTTTTGGGTGGAGTTTATAAATTCTGTATTTTGAGTATGTGGGTACTGTTCAAAGCTATGCACTCTGCCTCTTTTTCAATTTATCTTCTTGACAGTGAATCATTTTCTACTTGATGTATAATAATAAGCTGGTTGAACTTTAAGGGTTTATTGCTCATTCATGTGCCTGTACATACTGAGGATGTTTCCCATTCCTATTTCAAGCGCATATGGATGATTTCGAAAACGACTCTGAAGGTGACCAGTTGATTACAAACCTAGAATTTGACGAAGAAACAGGTCTCCTGCTTTCTCCTCAGACTCAACCCACAACGTCTTGTCAAGTGCCTTCGTTTGAGTCATTGACAAGGACGGAATTTCCCGGTTTCCCCTATACCACACTTTATCCACAACAGAATGACTTAATGCGCTTTCTCCATGCGTCCCTTAATTCCTCCAAATGTAGCATCATTGAGAGTCCTACTGGAACGGGTAAGTCGATCAGCCTACTCACCGGCTCTCTGCATTGGCTCCTTGACCACAACAGGGCTATCAATGCTCATCTCGCCAAACTCCGTGACTTCCTGCAGAAAGAGAGCAGTCGGCCTGTTAAGGAGAGTGACTGGGTAGCGGCACAAATTCGTAGGCGGACTCTACGAATCCGGGTGGTTAAGGAGATAGAGTCTTTGGAAGCCACCCAGAAGGCGTCCTTAGAGGCCTCCGAACTCATAAAACGTGCTGAAGGGGTCAGATCAACACTTAAATCATCGGATTTTACCCAATTTCTCGATGCTGTCATTCACGATAACTGCTCTTCCTCTTTTGAAGCATTAGATGAATGGCAGGGACTGGGGGACAACTTGTTCCTACCGGTTGTAGACACCGACTGCAGCCAAACCAATGCTGACTCTGTAGTTGCTCCAAAAAATACAGCATACAGCATAGTTCAGGTGGTATATTGTAGTCGAACACACTCGCAATTAGCCCAGGTTGTTGAGGAGTTTAAAAAATTGAAGGGTCTTTCGGATCAAGTCACCATGGTGACCCTGGCCTCACGTCAACACCTCTGCGTGAATAAGGCTGTGTATGGATTGCAAAATCAGACCCTCATCAAAGAGGCCTGTCTGGACCTTGCAGTAAAGGGTTCGGGCTGTAAATTCCGATGCAGGAACGAAGTCGGTGCGCTCTCTGACTACCTTGTGGGTGGTCGCATCTCAGCCATCGAGGCTGCATCGAGGATTCGTGGATCTTTGGACCAGGTTAACATTGAGGAGCTGCCTGTCTCCGCCTGTCCCTACTACGCCAACAAGCGTGGCTTGCCCCTTGCCCAATTGGTATTGGCACCTTACCAGTCGGTAGTTGTGCCAAGTCTGCGGGAGGCTATGGGTCTCTGTCTACGCAACAGTGTGCTCATTTTTGATGAGGCGCATAATCTGCTTGAGGCTTTGGCTGCCGCCTTCTCTTCCACTGTCTCACATGCTGATCTACTCGCCACTGAGCATCTCATTTTCGGCTTTTTGAGTCATTACCAGTCTCGGCTCTCGGCTTTTTCTGCCCTCCGACTACGGCAGATCATGCTGGTCGCCAGGTCCCTCGTCAACCTCCTCGAAGGCAAAACAACTCGAAGCAGTGGTTTGCGTGGTCATTGTGAACAGGGATTGGAAGCCGAAAATTGCAAGTCTACTGGTGAGATGGTCTACAAATTGGGCGACTTCCTTTTTGCTGCAGGACTGGATCATATCAATCTCAGCTACCTCGTGCACTATCTGCGAAGCGATAGGTGTGTGAACAAAATCGTTGGATTTGGGAAGTGGCTCGCTGGGAAAAAGTACAACAGAGGTGAAAAAGTGGAAACGGATTTTAATGGTACAAAATTAGTGGGAACCCGACTTAGTCTCTCCACATGTCTGAGGCAAATGAAGCGTCCTCCAAATCGTTCTGAGTTGTCCAAGACACTGCCATCGAAGATCTCAAAAAGAGAAGATCAGCAGGCGAGCCTTGCATCTCTTCTTTATCTATCCTAACTTTTGCGTTGTGAATATCTATTACGGCTGTCTGAATTACTCACGAGTTAATGAGCGTCCGGTCTCTATGAGGTTGCAATTGAGCCTTGACATACGCATCATCAAGCCTCAATAGGAGCGTGTCTCTCTTTGGCTAATTCTTGGGACTGGCTAAGTTCTTTACACTCATTATATGGGTAGATTATCACCCAACCAAATTCTGCTAAGCATTTTTAGTCTTACTGTGTTATTCCTTTTCTCATTGCAATGATTCACGTAGGTTACTCAGCTGTCTGTTGTGGCTATTTTATTATTTTTGAGTTGGTGGTGATGAAAATGTAACAGCATTAATTTTCTACATTTTCCTACCGCTCATACCTGGGTTGTCTCGCTTCCCATTTCACGTTGAAGTATTTGGTCTCGGTTTAATTAATGTCTGAATGAAGAACTTGATTGCAACGACCGTACACCGCTACGGGCTTCACCCAAAATTCTCACTTGAGAAATTCTAGTCGTCCCCTTATTTACTATCACCACGGCTTCCTGGCAACAGTTAGTCCTACCGATTGCAATCATTCCACATTTTCACACCGATCCACCTCCAAGTCCCGGTTTTTTTCCCATTTCTGTGTCATCAAAATTTCTGGAAGTTTCTGGACTTATTGTTCCAACAAAATTAAGGTTATTAATTGTCCATCAAAAGACGGAGCGTAATCAATTGGAATTGTCCTCTGATAAACCATTAACATTAGTCAACCTCAGCAACGATCAACTAAGATCACAATGCGGTTTTTCTATCGCCTGCTTCACTCAAGGCAGTGGGGTGTTTGTTGCGATAGGTGGAACATTAATTATTGGTTCAAAGTGTGTCTTAGTTATTTGTCTCTGCGGTGCGCATTCATGTTGAGGTCCAAACGAATGGCATAGCGGCTGCGCCACACAACCACGTGGAAGCAAGAGTCATGGGACTGTACTGGGGACGCTTACGTTACTCATCGTGCTCCGACGTGCTACACCCATCACTAACACAGTAACGTGTGCAAACACTCATTTGTTGGAATAGCTGTCTCCATCATTCTTGTTGCCTCGTGGGATTCCGAGAGCTCGCCTACGTTGGGTGTGTGCACGCGTGGTAGCGCTCTTGCAGCAGAAGTAGTATTTCACCCCAACCACGACAGTTGTCTTAGGTTTTTCTGGTAGCGTAATTTATCTCTTTGACTATATCATTACAGCCTGCATTAGTGGAACAGTAATTTGCTTGGTAAAGATAAGAATTTAGTTTGCGCACAATGGCTGGTCATTCACCCAGTGTACTTTATAGCTTGAGATCTACCCAACCTCTTACGATGATCGTGTGATCCGGGTTACGTTATTTGGTCACTCAGACTCACGTGCACCTGGATCCTCTGTTACTATGCCGCAAGGCAGTAAAAGATGAACTTTTTGGCATTTAATGCTAGCTTTTTCTTCAAAGTTGTTCAGCTGCAGTGAGATTAGGGCTATCTTTTCATCTTCAAATGTCACTGTCATTAAGGGGACCTTTTTGAGAGGCAGCCTTTAACCTCTTGTCTCAAGTCTACGGTTTGATCAAATTCTTCGTGATCGTATTTGTGCATCGCTAATGTTTTACTATCTATTTTTGAAGACCAAGTACGAATCCACCGGCAGCATAATATGAATTAGCCATTTTCACCACACAATGGGAGTGATTTTCAGCATTCAATAGGGGTTTTCGCCCGCGTACGCCAAATGTATTTATCGCTTCATAAGCGAAACGCCGTAATGGTGCCCTCCCATCACTTGGCCATTGATATGCGAATTAAATGACAGGCTAAAAGTTGTATGACTTCTAACTCATGTTTAATTGCTCCCATTCTTCGTGGTCTAGTCTCTGCTTATGCGAAAAGTTGAACCATGATCCCCTGCGATCCATTGCGCGTTATTCGAATGGGTTATAAATAGTAACGCACCCCATTTCTCCTTGTTAGTGTGTCTCTACACACATCCGACAGGATTTATTGGATGTCATTGGGTTTAAAGCTAGGATAAATATCCTTTGTGCAGAGATCAGTTGCAACCACATCGGGTTCACCGGTAGCATCGAAAAGTTCGAAAGACCTGCAGTCAGAGGGAGCGAGTCTCTTTGCGGTACTGGGCCTCCTCGAGGCGATAGTAAACAGCGATTGTGCGGGTAACGACGATGGACGCCTAATCGTCACCATTCGGGAGACGGAACGCTGCATTCGCTTTGTTATCCTCAATCCTGGCAGATACCTGCATGGTTAGTGGTTCCTCTTTTCAGGTGTTCTTTTTGATTGCACGGTTGTTGTGTTAAATTTTAAAGTTGTTATAGAGAATTTTACGCATTAGTATTTTGCCACAGTAAAATGTGTACTACTTTCAATTTTCATTCTATTTGATTGTTTGCCGGGCCCAGCCCAGGTAAATACCTTTAGTACACATTTGTTTATGCGCATTTCGCCTCAATACTTGGTTGTTTCGGAAATCCTTCTCCCTAACCGGAATTCTAGCGACTCTTCATCATTTGAATGCAAAAAAAGAATAAATCTTGACCCTATACTCTCCCCTTTATCGCAATGCCATTTTCATTAGGGTTGCTGCATTTCCCACTTCCCTGTGTCCATGTGACAGAATCGCCAGCGATTCAAGCAACCTGAATTGAGTTTTGTGGATCGTAGTAGAAGCTCTTAACCTCGATTAATCTATGTAATAATGTTATTGAATGTATTATAAAACTGATGCTTGGTGTTCTTTTACCTCCCTCACAGATGCAGTTAAAGAGGCACGCAGCGTAATTCTGGTCGGTGGAACAATGAAGCCATTTGATGAATTTATTGATCAAGTATTTCTTCCAGCCGGAAAAGTTGCGACTGATGTTACACTCTTCTCTTGTGATCACGTTATTGACGCAAAACATCAACTCGCCATTTACACCCCTTCTGTGTCGTTCAACAACGTTGTGTGGGATTTTACATTTAAGGTTGTTTTTAGATTGTTTTTTACTTTAAAATTGTTAGTAATAATGTTATAGTATATTTTCTTTTAGAATCGACATGATCCTCGACTAATTGATGAATGTGGTGAATTTGTGATCGAAATATGTACAATGATTCCGGGTAAGAATGTCCTTACCAATAAAACCGGATTATCAATCATTTGAATTTTTCGCTTGACTAGGCGGTGTTGCGGTGTTTTTCCAATCTTTTGACTACCTCTCTGTGGTATGGAACCGGTGGAAGGAAACGGGTCTTCTCGGGCGCCTTCAGTCCACGAAAGCATTGTTTAAGGAGCCACGAGCCGCAGTGGCCCTGGTCAAGGTAATGCAAGCCTATACGACCGCGGTCACTGCGCCAAACAAACAAGGCGCCTGCATTGCTTGTGTGATTGGAGGTAAACTCTCTGAGGGCATCAATTTCAACGACGACCTCGCGCGCGGTGTCATCATTGTCGGCCTCCCCTATCCCAACATCTACTCTGCATTTGTGCGTTTTCCTTCGGTTCATCTTCTGGCAGCCAATGTTGTCATGAGACCCGATGACTCCATGAAATGCATCAAATAGGGTTGCCACAGCTGATGAGAATTTAGCCCTGCAACTTTTACCGCCTTTTTATCGCATTTATCACCACCATACTTATAAGGGAACCCAGCTGAATAAAGATGGTACAGGTTGGTGTGGCTTGTGAGCGTTAGTAGTGCATTTAGGTTGTTATAAACTTTGCTGGTTTCTTAACTTGCTTTAGTCTTTTATTTTTTAGTAATAAGATTATTGCCTGAAGTTTTTAAGTGCCTCTACTTATGTTCAGCTAATTGAGTTGAGGAGTTTTGCTCTTGTTGTGATGTGCCGAAATTGATGATTCCTTAGAAAATTTAACTCTATAATTCGCCTTTCGCTACAGTTGTTGTTGATTTTCACTCCATTATGCATAGATAAGTTGCGTAACCAATGGTAGCTTACACAAAATCATTGCTTGTAGATGTAAGCAGATGCAGTTACATCTGAAAGCAGGTACGAAGTTATGGGTTGCGGAAAGCGGTTTGTCGCTAAACAAAATCTCTGTTTTGAAACAGGAAAGCTCGTGGTTAGTGATAAAATGATTAAGGAACTTGAAATTATTTGTGATTTTTGTAGATGCGTGAGAAACTCAGCTTTTTGGAGAGACGTTTTGGCGGGCACGAGAGTGGTCGCCGCTTCTGTGAGGCAGTATGTATGCGGGCAGTGAACCAAGCCATCGGAAGAGCTATTCGCCATGCACGCGACTATGCAGTGGTCTTCCTGATGGATCGACGTTTTGTGACCAACCGACGCTTACGGCCTCTGCTGCCCTCGTGGGCCCAAGATGCTCTCTTGTTGGACAGCCCTACCTTCTCTCCCCTTCAACATGACCTCCTTCGAAGTCAGCTTCATGAGTTTTTCTGTCGCAACAGCACAAATCCACAGTGATATCTACCTCTTATTCTGTAATTCCTTGCCTTGATGCACGTTGACATTCTCTCATGTCTTGGCCTAGCCAAACATCCAGTAGTTTCTCCAATCTTACTATGACCAAATGGCAACCTGGATAACGTGGCAATCTGTATCGAAAGGTACAACTCTGTGACCTCTTTGAAAATACTCATGAAGACGGGCAATGAGCTTACTTATTGGCTTTGAGGCTTTTCGTATAATTAGAGCTGGATCATTGTGCTGCATCACACTTAAGAACTAGTCATTCTTAATTAATTGCCACCCATCGGAAATGGGGTCATCACGATGCTTAAAGGTCATTGTAGTTCAGTTAACTCCAAACTATATTTCTAAAATGTTTGTTTCACTAGTTGGTACTAGTGGCTCAAAACTTCTTTGCTGTTGAATCGTGTCAATGTTGTTGGAATCTCTACTACAATTGCACAAGTAGGCTGTGCAAACCAATGTTAATGGCGTAACTTCTGTTGTACAATAATTCTTATCAATTTGCCAGTGATATGTTATGCTTAGGGCTTTAACTGAACCTCACCGCATATATTTGGCAGAATAACCCTTTATACACTTATCGAAAGTGGTGCATAGTCCAATTCTGGACTCTTGTCTCAGGACCCGCTCCGTGAAAGCAAGCGGTGCAGGTTTGCCCCAATTATACATGCGGAATTTCATTGGAATGATCTGACGCTCTACTTCCAAAGCTTTGCGATCGGCCTCAAGCTTTTGCCTCTCTGCGGCGACGTCATCCTGGTAGTAGAGCATCTGGGCAAATTTGTGCGCCTTCGCCCGAAATGCAGGGTCTCCAGCAGTCTCTGCTTCCTCGTGGACGATTGTCTCCAACGCATTCCTCTCGCTGCGCTGTCCTCTACGGTGGAAAAGGTAGCAGCAGAGCCATCGACGCACCGGCTCGTCATAGTTGATTGCCGTTTCACCTTCAAAAATAACTATATTCGTTACCACTCCCTTTTTCTTCTTCCTTCCTTTTCCTCTCTCCACTACATCCATCCTATCCACTATCCTTTCAGAGACGGCTCTCGCGTCAGTCATCGATTTTTAGATCTTTGAAGATGTTTTGATTCATGTAAGATTAACTGCCTTTTGGATCCCTCAACACCATGAAGATGAATTGGGACATCATGGAAATAATGCGCCTGCTAATTGTTAAAAGCCTTAAGCTCTGTTTCCAAAGATTAGTTTCTTTAGCCTCATCACCTACAAAGTTTCAGAGCTTACTGAGTTCTTTTCTGGACGAATAATATGGCCATTTTGTGCACTGAGAAATGCCGCGATACGACGGGCTGGGACGCTTTTGCGATAAGGGATGCCTAGTATAAACCATCAGAATGAGTCCCTCCAACCGTCGAAGTTTTTCGTCTAGCTTTATTCGGCAGTGTGTATATGGGACGGTTGGCCTGAAATGCCAATGCATTCCAGTGTATAGAAAACCAGCTCTTGCTTTACGATAGAATTTCATCAATTGTACTATCAGTGGCTAGTTTTTCGTGGTTGTGAGTAGCAATAAACAATGAAGGAGAGTTTCGAAGTCGAACAGCAAAAGGATTAAGCTGAAAACTCGACTTCTTCGTGTTTCTTCTACTTCAAATAATACATGAATGAAGGAAACATGAACAGACAATTTACGAGTTCCTTGAATGGCCACAGCAGAGGTGAAGAGACTGTTATACAATTAAGGAGGGGCACGATAATCTTTGGTATACGTAATTTTAAAAGAATGATCTAAAAAGACCAAACCTCCACAAAAGTGTCAATTGAGGTTAGTAATTTATGAAGACATTTGTCCAATTGTTTGATAGAGATTTCGTATCACTTATTTCATTATTTTAACTCGCTTCTTGTTTTTATGCACTTAGGAAGGATATTTTCAAACTTCGATCTGCTCTTTCCCTCATTTCCCACTTCGTTCCCTCTCGCATGCATCTAAGCTCACATGTCTTACGGAGAATTGTCAGACTCCTCGCAGGGGTGACCCCAAACCACCTGCTCTGGCTCCACCACCACATGTTTATGGCCAGAAGCTGTTCTCCCAACCCGTCTCTTCACCTTCTCCTCCTCTGTCATCCCCTTAGCGGGGTTTGAGGCCCCTTAAGGCAGGATTGAACACGTATGGTCAGTCTGCTGTGCATTTGTGAGCCCTCATCCCCCACTAACATCATCACAACAGTGCATGCTACACTTCTCCCTACTCCCTGTATGCGCACCCACCTGTGAGCACTGATGAGTAGGTGGGGGCCACAATGGGCTCACAAACCACCTGGGTCGGGTCCACTAGATAGCAGAGAGGGGTACGCCTTTGTATTGGGATTGCACGCTTGCTGACGCACCCATTCACAGGCTGCTGCAACATGCAGTCCCAAGGGGTACTCACAAAAGAGGCTAATTTCGTGTTTTGGCTTGCATAGGTTCCCTTACAAGTTGCATGTTTGCTTCCCTTTACCTACTGCCGCGTCTTAGAGGCACACAAATATTAACTCGTCTGATCTTCTAGCCCTTCCTCAAAACAATTAGTTGCTTATTTTTTATATACCTACTCGATGTACTTCACTCGGCTGATGTTTTCTACTTCCACGTATAGCAGTCGGATAGATAGGAACTCGCAAATGCCAATACCATTTTCCATCGTTATGCGTTTTTCTACTATCATTTGTACTAAAAATTTTTTTCTGCTGGGTATTAGTGAAACTGTTTGGAAGCACGTGTGTCTAGTCAAAGCAATCTTTGCTCCCCAAGGTGGTAATGAGGTTGTCGCCTCACATTTGAATGCGGCTGACACTGTTTCGTTTCATTATTTAATCGCAGGTTAAGATGCTGATTGGTTGTAGAATGCAGCATAGAGGATCATTTGCCTTATTTGTTTAACATTTAGTGGTTTTGGATCATGCTAAATCCTCAGAGCTTGAGCTGCATGCCCCAGGAGGGCAGCTTTAACACGCTCTTCATGACACCGACCGCTTTCGTCTTCCTTAGCGTTGGTCACAATGCAATAGGGAAGTGTGTAGTTCTCATCGCTACATTCTTGTAGGATTTAGAAGAAGCCTTACTTAATAAATAGCAATAACTCAATTTTACGGTGTAGTATGAGTTATCACTTGACCCATTGTGATCTACAACGCTAAAATGAGGATGCGTGGTGATGGCACGTGCTGAAGAGCCTAATTTGAAAACAAAATACCAAACCTATTGTCTTGCCTCTTGACTTCAGTGGAATCAGAAGCCATCAACGCACGTGACGTAGTTAAACAGCTGGCAAATGAGGTCTGCTTCACTGGTATGACTCGGAGCCGCATTTGTCAAACACTTGCATGGGTGTCCCAATTTCTCACTAAGAATACGTTCAATTTCGTCCCAACCTCAACTGCGATGGAACCTTTGTGGGGACTCATCGGTTGGGCAGGGGTTGGGTGTGGTGCTAATCAGTCTATCCAGGGCGAGGGTGGAAGCAAACTCTAGGAGGAGGGGCGAACTTGGAGCAAATTTACACCTGTGTAAAGTGTAACTGCCAATTGTTCATGCCACCCGTTGTACTAGAAAACTAAATCACGATTTTCATTATAATCAGGGCACATGGGACGACTGAAAGTGCTATTCTAATGGCATGAAGGATCTTGTTGTTTTAAGTTTTGCTCATAGCTTGTTAAGTGTTACTTCTTTTCATTCTTTATCTTCTTCAAGTGTCTTAATTTTCACTTTGTTAGTCCTAAGCCGAGGCCTCATTTCGCAAAACTAAGCTTATGATGGCAATTTATTTTGTCAATCCAACTGACTAGATGGTGCTTTTGCAACTTTTCACATTTGGCCAAATTTGTACTGCTCTTGCGGTTATCCAGCTTAACAGAATCCGCTTACAGCTGGCATATTTTCAAAAGGTGTGGGCCGTGATCTCCACCTCTGTGCGCACCAATAAGAAGCCCCAACACATTTCTGCATTTTCCGAAAATATGCCGCCACTGATTTTAATGTTGCAAATATGCAGTATTTTTTATGAGTGTGAACAGTGCTCATTCAATTGTGCATCTTGATAATGGGTCAAAAATTTGGCTCGTGGTTACAGTACTTACCATGTGAGTGGGGCAAAGTGAGAGGCTTTATGCTTTCCTGAAAATATTAATTAACAACACGTAAAAATAATTCATGCACTGCTCTCCCTGGATGATGTCGACAACCTAACAACTATCGGGCTACCATTTTTCTCTCAATTTTGTCTAGACCTCACCCTTCCAATTACCACCCACTTAGCGGTCCTTTTCCTCAAATTCCTCCCTGGATTGGGCTCTCCAACATTTTTCATTGTAAACCACATCTTTGAGGCAGGTTTGTTCATGTCTGTGTCCATTGTCAGTGATGGTTAAAATGGCCAATGCATCTTCTTCATTCCAACGCCCCAGTCAATTCTACCTCACTTCTCTCATTTACAGTGTCAACCTCATTTTGCTGTTATTCTTTTACTTTTTAAGTCCGTGAACCTGCATATCTAGTCCCAACGTTTAAACATCAATAATGTCAACTTTTCAGCCCGATGACAAGGCATTGATTTACTTCGTAAAACCAAAATCACTTCCATACCTACAATGGCTCTGTGGTTTCTCTTTCTCTTCGCACCATTTGCGTCCCCCTGCTAAGATTGTAATGGGGAAGTGAGATAGTGCCTATGTACTGCCAGACAGCAAGCATCAGATGCGCAACGTAGGTCTGGTTTGGCATAGCAGGAACATGTATTTTGACATCAGCTTTGATAAAGACAAGGCATACCGATACGCATATCTTCTTAGTGCGGATGACATTTTTGCAGAGGCGCAATTCATTGACGCACCTTTACAGGCTCCAAGCTAAATAGGGTTGGGCATAATTTATGCATTGAGTTTAACGCCCCTTTTAATGGTTGTGGGTTGGAGACAATCTCACTATCTGACCTCGCTATGCGGGTTAGGAACAGACAACCATACACGGCTGGCGTGACACCTGTTGCGGATGCCCTCACTGCAGAGCCTACTGCCAGGACAGCTCAAGACAGATTGTATTTTGTCCTCCTGCCCTCACCACAGACGTTTACCACACTACCCCTCTACTTACTACACTGCCTTTTATAACAGCTAAACCATCCCATTCATGATCCAAGATACGTGCAGTGCTGTGCACAAGATCATTACGGGACGAAGCGTTGTTTGAACTCGTCAAAAGCTTTGCGCAGTTTGGGCTTAGGCAAACGTGGAGAACATGGAATTGGGATCGAAAAGTCCCTAATGGTTTTTCTCTAGGGGTGATGAATGAGCATTTGTGATTCGCTGGTTTTTTTCTTTTAAAAAGTTAATTTACTGTATAACTACGAAAGATATGGAGGATTTAATAATGCTGCACCAAATAATTATGCGGGCAATTATGTAAAGTACGCTATTTGATGCTTCAATTTGATGTGCAATAAATCGTTGTAAAATTTAGAGACAATTCTCGCTCCTCGAAGAACAAAGAAGGTTTTAAAAATTTTTAAATGCTCTGTCTAAATTTGCTAGGTCTAAGTCTTCTTTGCCAAGGGTAGACGAATGGGGCTAGCCGTCTGTGGTCGAGCATGCACTGGTGAAGGTAGATGGTATATTGGGTTAATGAAAACCACGGACGTCTACATAATCATTCACTAGGCTTTTCCCACGTTCACATTTCGAGCGCTAATGCACATTAACAATTTCACAATGCTTATTCAAAGGGCACTGGAGCGGATGACAACGCATGGGTCATTCAGACGGTACAGTTATAGAGCCCTTAACCCCACACACACACATTTGCAAACCGGCGTATATGTAAACACTGCTGCTGGGTCTGTGACTGCGCCCCAGTGTGTGTGTGTGTGTATTCTGCACGCGAACAGGCACCCACTGGCACACGGTGAGCGAACACACGTGTACGTGCACTAGACCTAGCAGTGACACTTGCAATGGCTGGCGGCGGTATCACCCACATTTCCGTTGCTGATTTCAGAGGTATGAGAAAAACAC